AGCTCACACCTCTACATGGACAGCAGATCGGCCTGCGATACCTGGACATGACAGACTGTGTATCACTGGAGGACAAAGGCTTGAGCACCATTGCCTTTCATTGTCCACGTCTCACACACCTCTACCTGCGGCGCTGCAGCCACCTAACAGACGAGGCCCTGCGACAGCTAGCACTGCACTGCACCGCTTTACGTGAGCTTAGCCTTAGCGACTGCCCTCTGATTGGAGACTTTGGCTTACGTGAGGTCGCTCGCCTGGAGGGCCGCCTACGCTATCTGAGTGTGGCACACTGTATGCGCATAACAGACGTTGGACTGCGTTATGTAGCACGCTACTGTCCGCGGCTACGCTACCTGAATGCACGAGGATGCGAGGGGTTGACGGACCAGGGTTTGAGCCACTTAGCTCGCAATTGCCCCCGATTGCGGTCTATAGATGTTGGCCGCTGCCCGCTGGTGTCAGACGCCGGGTTGGAGGTGTTAGCACGCTGTTGTGAAGGGCTACGAAGGCTGAGTCTGAGAGGCTGCGAGAGTTTGACAGGGAGAGGGCTCATGGCGCTAGCAGCGGGATGTCCCGAGTTGCAGTTACTAAACGTACAGGAGTGTGAGGTGCCACCTGAGGCACTTCGATTGGTCCGACAGCACTGCAGACGCTGTGTAATTGAACACACCATACCTGCTTTGTACTGAGGGGACAGGTTGGGGACGCCAGAGGTGTCGACCTCTGAAAAACAGATGTTTATACTTTTTTGCATTCCTATGACTGCCTGATGAGATGCAACAAGGTGGATGTGTCTCAAAACCTAGTGCAGGGGTGCTCAATCCAGCTCCTGGAAGGCCACTCATGCAGAGTTTAGCTCCAATACACCTGACCAAACATTTAGAGTAATCCTGACTGAAATTGGTTGGTTCAGTTGTGTTTAATTTGGGCTTGGAGCTAAACTCTGCAAGACAGTTGCCTTCCAGGAGCAGGACTAGACGTTCTTTACCTAGTTAATCAATTCACGGTCTACTTCAGTGTTTCCCAACCATGTTCCTGGAGGCACACCAACAGTATACATTTAGGATGTCTCCCTTATCTGTTTCATACATGTCAAGTCTAGGAGTCTCTACTAACAAGCTGATGAGTTGAATCAGATGTGTTTATTATGAAGAGTTTGAAAATGTGTACTGTGTCTCCTGCTCAGCTCAAGGGTGTCAAACCCTGCTCCTGCAGGATCACTGTTGTGCAGAGTTTAGCTCCAACACACCTGCCCAGAAGTTTCTAGTAATCCTAAAGACCTTGATTAGTTTGTTCGGATGTTTAATTCGGATTGGGGCTATACTCTGCAGGACCCTCCAGTTGGAGGATAGGTCACCCTGATCCAGTGAATCAATTCACTGTCTACTGCAGTGTTTCCCAACCATGTTTCTGGAGGCACACCAACAGTACACATTTTGGATGTCTCCTTTATCTGACCCATCCATTTCAGGTATAGGAGTCTCTATTAATGAGCTGATGAGTTGAATCGGGTGTGTTTGATTAGGAAGAGTTCAAAAATGTGTACTGTGTCTCCATTGAACTTGTTTGGGAAACAATGGTCTCCT